AGCATCTCATGCTGTTATACTGTCTCTACTTCTCGACACTCTCCTCTCATGGTCTCCCAGGTCCCTCATTTTCCTTTGTCTTCAGCCAGCTCTGACTCCTTCATAGACTTCCCTTTTCCCTCTGGGCTGCTGTCTAAATGTTGGAGCATCTCAGGGCTGAGTCCTGGGTCCCCTTTCCTGTCTCTCTCCCAAGGTGATCTCATCCAGTCACATGGCTTTAAATACCAATGCTGATGACTCAAATATACGTCTCAAGGCCCACCTCTTGTGTATCCAAATGCCTATTAGATCTCATCATTGGAGTTCAGATTTCATGGCCAAAGCATTCAGATTTCATGGCCAAACCAGAAACTTTGACTCTCTTCCTTCCCCCTAAACCTGCCCATCCTCCAATCCTCTCCATCTCAGGAAATGACATTCTTATCAACCCCATGGCTCAGGCCAAACATCTAGGGCTCATCCTTGATTCTGCTCCTTTCCCCACCACCGGATTTGATCTATCATCCAGCCTGTCCTCTCTGCCTTCAAAATACATCCCAATCCAGGGATCACCTTCCCTGCCACCTCATTCCAAGCCATAATCATCCATGCCTTTGACTTCTAAATAGCTTCCTAACTAATGTCCCTCCTCTGCTTCTGCTGTCTGCCCCTTAAAGACCATTCTCTACAAAGCACCACAGCCCTCTTTTTAAAATCTCAAATCAGTTCATGTCATGCCTCTGTTGAAAACCCTCCAATGGCTTTGCATCACAGTCAGAATAAAGCCAGACTCCTTACCAAGGCTGATAATGACCTACAAGATATAGCCCTCACCCACCTCCCTGGCCTCATATCTCACCATAATTTCTCTCACCCACTCTTCTCCAGCCACACTGGCCTTCTTTGCTGATCTTAAAATACAACAAGCTTGGGCTGGCCCGGTGGTGTAGTGGTTAAGTTCCCGTGCTCTGCTTTGGTGGCCCAGGGTTGACAGGTTCGGATCCTGGGCGTGGACCTATGCACCACTTATCAAGCCACGCTGTCCCACATATAAAGTAGAGGAAGATGGGCATGGATGTTAGCCCAGAGCCAATCTTCCTCAGGAAAAAGAGGAGGATTGGCAACAGACGTTAGCTTAGGGCTAATCTTCCTCACCAAAAAAATAAATAAATAAAAATTAAAATAAAAAAAAAAATAGGGGGCAGCCGGTGGCATAGTGGTTAAGTTTGCATGCTCTGCTTCAGCGGCCCAGGGTTCATGGGTTCAGATCCCAGGCACAGACCTATACACCAATTATCAAAGCCATGCTGTGGCGGCGTCCCATATAAAGTAGAGGAAGATGGGCATGGATGTTAGCCTAGGGCCAATCTTCCTCAGCAAAAAAAAGAAGAGGATTGTCAACAGATGTTAACTCAGGGCTAATCTTCCTCAAAAAATAAAAAATACAACAAGCTTGTTCCTCCCTTATATGTTACACCTGTTATTCCCTTTTCTAGAGTGCTCCTTCTCCAGAACTTTACGTGGCTGCCCCCTTCTCAGCACATCAGGTCTCTACAAAGAGGGATCCTCTGACCATTCATCAAATATAGCCTCTAAACACAATGAGATACCACTTCACCCCCTCTAGCATGGCTATAATTAAACAATAACAGCAACAGAAAGGACTAAGTGTTGGTGAGGAGGTAGAGAAATTGACTTTCTTCCTTCCGCCTAAACCTGCCCATCCTCCAATCCTCTCCATCTCAGGAAATGACATTCTTATCAATCCCACGGCTCAGGCCAAACACCTAGGGCTCATCCTTGACTCCGCTCCTTTCCCCACCCCCGAATTTGATCTATCATCCAGCCTGTCCTCTCTGCCTTCAAAATATATCCCGAATCCAGGGATCACCTTCCCTGCCACCTCATTCCAAACCATAATCATCCACGCCTTTGACTTCTAAATAGCCTCCTAACTAATGTCCCTCCTCTGAACGCTCATGTATCGCTGGTGATAATGTAAAATGGTACAGCCGCTGTGGAAAAGTGTGGTGGTTCCTCAAAAACTTAAACATAGAATTATCATAAGATCCAGCAATTCCACTTCTAGGTATATACCCCAAAGAATTGAAAGTAGAGATTCAAACAGATACTGGTACATCAATGTTCACAGTGGCATTATTCACAATATCCAAAAGGAAAGAAACCAGACACAAAAGGTCATGTATTGTGTAATTTGATTTATACGAAATGTCCAGAATAAGTAAATCCATAGAGACAGAAAACTGATTAGTGGTTGCCAGAGCCTGGGGGTTGAGGGGCATGGAGTGCGTTTGCTTAATGAGTAGGGGATCTCTTTCGGGGGTGAAGAAAATATTCTGAAACTAGATAAAAGTAGTGCTCACACAACATTGTAAAGGTACTAAATGCCGCTGAATTATATACTTTAAAGTGGCTAATTTTATGTTATGTGAATGTCATCTCAATAAAAAACATAAAGATAGTCTCTGATGGAAAATTTTTGTGATATTGGACTTGGAATGATTTCTTGGCTGGGACACCAAAAGCACAGGCAAAAAAAGAAAAAATAGGTAAGTTGGACTTCATCAAAATTAAAAACTTTTGTGCATCAAAGGACACTAACAAAAGAATGAAAAGGCAACCCATGAAATGAGAGAAAATATTTGCAAATCATATACCTGATAGAGGGTTGATATCCAGAATATATAAAGAACTCCTACCACTCAACAATAGCAGAAAACAAAAACCCAATTAGAAAACAGACAAATGACTTAAACAGACATTTTTCCAAAGAAGATATACAAATGGCTAATAAGCACATGAAAAGATGTTCAACATCACCAATCATTAGAGAAACGCAAATCAAAACCACAATGAGATACCACCTCATACCCATTAGGATGGCTACTCTAAAAACAAAGAACAAAAAAATAACAAGAGTTGGCAAGGTGTGGAGAAATCAGAATCCTTGTGCATTGGTGGTGGGAATGTAAAGTGATGCAGCTGCGTGGAAAACAGTATGGTGATCCTCAAAAAATTAAACATAGAATTAGCACATGATCCAGCAATTCAACTTTTGGGTATATACTCAAAAGAACTGAAAGCAGGGACTCTAAACAGATAGTTGTACACTCATGTTCGTAGCAGCATTATTCACAATAGCCAAAGGGTGGAAGCAACTCAAGTGTCCAACAGATACATGGATAAATAAAATGTGGAATACGCACATAATGGAATATTATTCAGACCTAAAGAGGAAGGATATTCTGACACATGCCACAACGTGAATGAACCTTGAGGACATTATGCTAAGTTCAATAAGCCAGTCACAAAAGGACAAATACTGTATAATTCCACTTAGATGAGGTCTTTAGAGTAGTCAAAATCACAGAGACAGAAAATAGAATGATGGTTCTCAGAGGCTGAGGGGAGGGGGAGTGGAGAATTACTGTTTAATGGGTACAGAGTTTCAATTTGGAAAGATGAAGAAGTTCTGGAGATGGATAGTGGTGATGGTTGCACAAAAGGTGAATGTACTTAATACCACTGAGCTGAACCCTGAAAAATGGTTGAGACAGTAAATTTTATATTATGTATATTTTACCACGATAAAAAAAAAAAAAAGAAAGAAAAATAGCTCCTGACTCCAGTTACCGCTGGAAACTTCATTAAGTGTTTATCTGCCGACTGGCTCGTTGTCCATTTTTCCCTGTGGAAAGGGAGCTGCGCTGGAGTAGATTACGGCTGAATTATTCGCTGCTGATCCCAAGTGCTGGAACAGTGGCTGGTAAACAGCAGGCACTCAATAAAGTTAAAAAAAAACACATTTATTTACTGGTTGGTTTGTCTGTTTGTTCACTTGCTTCTTTTCTGACTCCCCATTGGATTGAGCTCCACGAGGCACGGACCTAGTTTGTCTTGTTCCTCTTCGGATGTGCAGCGCTAAACCAGCATCTGCCACCCAGCAGGGGCTCCACAGATGTTCACCGAGTGAATTAGAAACCGCATCCATGACGAGACATGAAGCTCCTCGCTGAGATCCTAGCTCTGCTGCAAAGTGCTGTGGAAAGTCCCGAGCCAGACAGAAGAACCCGGTTTGAAAACCACTGGCCCAGCCATTCTCTGTGACCCTCTGGAGCCCAGGGGTCTAATTCCCATTCCTCCCAAACAACCCGGATGATTAACCTTCTGAGCCTGTTTGTCTACAAAACAAGAGTGATCAGCCTGGGCCTGCCCACCTCACAGGATCGTGATGAGAATCAGATGAAATCACACGTGTGAAAGGCTTCTCTATGCCCTACACAAATGGTTAAGTTCTTTCACAACCTCACACATCACTGCTTGGCAGGATATACAGAGAAACAGGCGCACCAAGTGGACCTACCTGGCAGCCACCCTCAAGGGTGAAGCAGCTCTTTTCTTAAAGCAAGGAGCACACACCTGGGTGACCAACACCCCTCCTTGCTGGGTGTGACAGGATTTTGGAGCCTCGCCCTGACCACACCCACGGGCACACACCAACCTCCACATTCTCTTCAGGAAAAATCTCTGTGAAATGGATGCAAAGCTCCCAATTTGCCCTCCTCCCCAGTCGATGCAAACCCTTTGGGCAGAGCTAAAGCTATGGGACTCAGCCAGCTGCGTTATTGCATGAAAACCTGACAACTGATTCAGAATTCAATGTTTTAAGGACAAATCAGTTTTGCCCACTGGTGGCGAAGGTGGGGCCACCAGCCCACAGGCAGGCTCACTCCAGGACAAAGGAAATCAGAGTAGAAGAGGTTGGAAGTGTTAGTACTGGCTCCCAGCATCTGCCTTACGTTGAGAACATGAGCCTTATCCAGCATCTCACAGCATACCAACCGAGCCAGCTCTTGGGTAGGCACAGCAAAAAGTTATTTTAAAAAATCTAAACATGTATTGCAGATTCTACTGTTTTACAACTTACTGAGGTGGATGGGAGGAGGCCATGGGAGAAGGAGGAGGAGAAAACCTAAAAATACAAATGAACTTGCCACACCAAGTCTGCAACCATCTAGATGTTAGGAAGGGGCTGGAAAACAGACCATGCCAAGCACATTCCCCAGTACCTGCGGAGGTTCAGGGTTTGGAGGCCACAGGATGACGTTATGTAAGCCGGAGTCCTCTTGCTGAAAGCAAAGGGGTCTTGCTGTTAGGACAGGTCACAGTGAACAGGATCCCTCGCAGCACCAGAGCAACAGTCTTGGCTGGTTTCTGTTCCCAGGCCTAACCCGCTGCGTGTGCCCCCACCTAGTCCACAGCTGCCCAGGGGCAAGGAGACTACAGAGGGAGAGGAATCTGCAGCTGAGGGTATATGAAGAAGGCAAGGGGCAGGACTGGGCAGGCCTGTCCCTCATCCTTTGCACTGGTGACACTGCTGGTCCTCAATGCCTAGTCCTTAATCTGTGGACAGGAGGTTCTTTCAGACCTGCATCTTTCTTTCCAAGAGTTGACTTGTAAGTAGGACGCAGGGACATCTGAGTGCATCTTCACAGAGAAAGAGTCTCTGAGAGAGGACTGGGGGCAGGGACTGGATGGGGGTGGGGAGTGTAGAGGCAGAGAAACTAGTTTGCAGGTGTTTGCAATGATCCAGGTGTGAGGTAATAGGCTTATGACAGTGGGAATAGAGAGGAAAAAAACAATGTAAGGGATGTGTGCCAGATTTTGTCTTTTGAGAAAGTGCTCCAAGCAATATTGATGAGGCCCCCATCAACCTGGCCCACCCTTCCCCTGCAGGGGTGGGTGCATGACTCAGCCTGGCTAATCAGAGTCTCCCACATTCCGGGACGCAGTGATTGATCCCAGAGAGGGCACATGACACGTCAGGGCCAGTCAGATTCCTAGAAGGAGATGACCGGGAAGCTGGACCATTAGCTGGAAGAAGAAGGGAAGCCTGAAGCTGCTGGTGGGGTTGGGGCACCTCCCTGAGCATTAAGGCATCACAGAGGAAAGGAGAGAAAGATCTGGAGAGGAGAGATCTCCAGTGTCATCTTTTGAATCTCTGGATTCAGTGACCACTGCAACTAGACCCTCTCTGTGGACTTCTCAGTTCTATAAGCCGAACAAGTCCCTTCTCTGCTTACGGTCATTCGAAATGGGCTTCTGTCTCTCATAGCCAAAAAAAGCCCTAATAAAACAGAAATTCGGAATGCTAAATGACCGCCCCATTAATCAATCAATCGTAGAGTGACTTATTAAATGTGGAGAATGGGAGTGGGTGGAGTCAGAGGTGACCCCAGATTTCTGTCTTGGATGATAGGGTAGATCATGGCACCCAGGAGGGGGAATGTGGGGAGGAGAGGATCAGGGAGGGAAGCTGAGTTTGGGTTTGAGGAACTCGGGGTGACTGTGGGTCATCCAGGAGAGATACCCAGGAGACAGCGGGAAGACGCGAGCCTCAGCCTCACGGGGGCCCTGAGTGCTGTAGCCAAACCTACTTGTGCTTCATTCACACTTGTTTCTCTGGGGAAGGCGAACCTTGTTCCGACCCTGGAATCCTAAAGGCGACCCCATAATGCCCCACGGGTCAGGGCTGGCTGAGGCTGAAGAAGCGAAAACTAGCAGTGCCAGGAAAACATCTCTGTCTGCTGCAGGAGGGCGGGGACTGAGGCCAGAGGAGAGGGCTGGGAGCTGGCAGGAGGTGAGAAGGGGGATATAGGTATAGTGGGGTGAGGGGTTTTAAGCCTCTGAGCATTTTTAGCTTTCTAATCAGTAAAGATCTGAAACACTAAAATATTTATTGCTTGTTAGGATTTAGTGAGATGAGCCCTCATAACCTGATGAGAGAAATATAAATTGGCCTCACCTTTCTGGAAAGCATTTTGGATATAGATATAGATATGGATATGGATATAGATATAGATATGGATATGGAAATAGATGTGGATATGGATATGGATATGGATATGGATATAGATATACGGCAAGAGCCTTTCAAAAACACTTACCCTTCATTTGACACAGTAATTCCATTTCTGTGAGTCTATCCTAAATAAACCAGCCTTCAATTCGGGACAGTGTCATTTAGGAAAGGTAATGGAGAGAAAATGTAAGCTACTCTAACTTTGCCTGTACTCAGGGAGAAATTCATCTCAAGTTAGAGAAGGCACCAAAAGCACTACCTGTAAAAGGAAACGCTGATAAATTGTACTTCATAAAAACTTTTGTTCTGTAGAAGACCCTGTTCAGAAGATGAAAAGACAAGCTCCCGGTGGGAGAAAATATTTGCAAACCACAATCTGACAAAAGATTAGTATCTAGACTATAGAAAGAACTCTCAAAACCCAACAGTAAAAAAAAAAAATCCAATTAGGGAATGGGCAAAAGACATGAACAGAGATTTCACCAAAGAGAAAATACAGATGGAAATAAGCACGTGAAAGGTGTTCAACATCATCAGTCATCAGGGAAATTCAAATCAAAACCACCACGAGCTATCACAAGACACATGTCAGAATGGCAACACCAAAGAGTGATAGCACCGAAGGACGACCAGAATGCAGAGAAACTGGATCACTCAAACATTGCTCGTGGGAGTGTACAATGGTACAGGGACTCTAGAAAACAGTTCGGCAGTTCCTTGTAAAACCAAACATGTAAATACCTTATGACCCAGCAATTGCACCCTTGGGCATTTATCTCAGAGAAATGAAAGCATATGTTCACAAAAAACCCGTATAGAAATGTTCAGAGGAGCTTTATTTGTAAAAGCCCCAGGCTGGGAACAACCCAGCTGTCCTTCAATGAGTGAATGGTTTGATGAACTGTAGGACGTCTATACCGTGGAATACTACTCAGCAACAAAAAGGAATGAACTACTGACACATGCAACAACCTGGATGAATCTCGAGGAAATTACGCTGAGTGAAAAAAGCCAGTTATAACAGGTCACATACCATTTGGTTCCATTTATATAACATTCTCAGAATGTTAAAATTGTAGAGATAGAAAACAAATTAGAAGTTGCTGGGGGTTAGGGATGGGGGAAAAGAGAGAGGTGGGTGTGGCTATAAGGGCAACAAGAGGAATCCTTCTGGTGACGGAAATGTTCTGTGTCTTGACTGTTTCAACGTCAGTATTTGGGCTTCGATACTACATTTTGCAAGATGTGACCCTTGGGGGAAACCAGGTAAAGGGTACAGGGGTCTCTCTGTACTATTTCTTTTTTTCTTTTTTTTTTTTTTTTAAAGATTTTATTTATTCAGTTTTTTCCCCCCAAAGCCCCAGTAGAGAGTTGTATGTCATAGGTTCACATCCTTCTAGTTGCTGTACGTGGGACTCGGCCTCGCGTTGGACGGAGAAGTGGTGCCTCGGGGCGCTCCCGGGATCCGAACCCGGGCCGCCAGCATCAGAGCGCGCGCACTTAACCGCTAAGCCACGGAGCCGGCCCACTCTGTACTATTTCTTACAACAGTAGGCCAGTCTACCATTATCTCAAAATAAAAAGTTTAATGACAAAAACATTAAGATTTCATAGAAAAAATACGAGTTTCTGATCTCTTGAAGAAATGGGAAGATCTTGTAACACCGGGCCCATATTCCCACCTGGCAACCTTCTGCTGGAGTGGATGGTGGCTGCCTTCTTCAGACAATAGGACGGGAACCCTCCTGTTTGCCATAGTACCTACCTCTCCCTATTGTCTCACACCCATTTAACAAAGTTACTGTTTCTTGCCTGCCCCTAAAGACTGCCATCTTTTTGTTTTGTTTTGTTTTTTGATTTCTGTTTTCCTGCTTGAAAAAAGAAGATTGTAGGGAAGAAAAAGGCAGAGCAGAAATGAATTGCATTATGCTGGCTTTTAGGTCCAATTTTCTCATTCAGAGAACTCAATACCATTAATTCAAAATTTCCATTGTGTGTGAGATAAATGGGGAAGTGTCTCCATGATTTTGTTCACCAGGGAACTGAGTTAGAACTCTCAAACTTAGAATGGGCAACTATAAAATTTGAATATATTTTAATATCCCAGCCTTATGCACAATTAAGCAAAGTCCATTCCTCAATTGTGAAAATCTTACCTAACATGAAAACGATAGTTCACATTTAATTTGCTCAACACCGATAGATTTTAAAATCACTTTTTAAGGGCCATAACTTTATTTTGGGGAGGAATGTGGAAAAGTTTTATGCCTACCTCCTCTGCTGCATTCGTGTAAGTAAGTGGATGGGTGGGCACAATCCAGGAAAAATGTCCCAAACTCTCAGTATGTCAGTTTTAAAAGCACACAATAAAAAGTAAAGCTAGTTTTTATAGTTTACAAGATTAGGGCTTGCCTTAATATGAGAATTCTGAAAATAAAATGAAAAATGCCTACGTGGATACATATATGCATCTAGGCGTATCTGTCCTGTAGCTTGCTCCTTCGTGGGCAGAGAGGAGAGGCTGAAAAAGAGTCTAGTCAAGGTCGGTCAAGAGATCCGGGTAGGTCGAGGGAGAAGCTCCGACACCCACCTGGTTGTCCAAGGTGCTGCTCTCGTTGCCCATGGCGACTCAGGGTGCCCAGCGTCCCTCAGGATTTTATCAGAGGCGACTGGAAGAACAAAAGGGTATGTACGTCCGTAAAACTGAAGATCTGAGGCTTTTTCTGTCTGCTCATTTCCCCAGACTCAAAAACCAGATGATGGGAAACGCTTATCTCTGCAGTCACATCATGGAAATCGCTTTTGAAGGGTTTTCTTTTGCGATATGCCACCCAGACTTCTCTCCCAGTACGGGCTGGTGTTTTTATTCCCCGCCCCGGGGTTGGCAGACACTTCTGAAAATCGAGTTTGTTACCAAGTATCTGAGTCAACGCCAATGTACACACATACATATATACAAATGGAGTGACGAAAGGGGCCCATTTGCCAAAGAGAACTTGAGGAGTGGCGCGGGCGGAGTGTTTTCTGTTTCTAATTGTGTTCGGTTTGGAAATCCAGAGTGTGGCTGGTGTCCCGCTGCCGGTGACAGCAGAGCTCGGAGTCGAACATTAGGAGGCGTGAAATCCACTTCTCTTCAACAACATATGGTTTTCATATTTTTTACTCTAAACACTTGTTTCATCAAATCAGTTTCACTTCTGCACACGTTTTTATGAAGTCAGAATGGGGTTTTCTTGCCGAGGAAAATGGGTAGTCGGGGCCAGACACGGAATAAATAATCATGTAAAGCCGCGTGCTGCAGGGACAACTGGAATCATTTCATCAGGCTCACTTAGTGACACAGGTTATTAATCATCATCCTAACGAGGGTGTGTCCCACACAGCTCACGGAGAAACCCAGGACACGTGCTCACCTTATCCAGCTGGGCTCCCTGAGACCCCATAACATAAGCAGGACTGGGACTATTACCTTCATTTTTTCTAGGTGGAGAAACTAAGTTACAGAAAATTTTTAAAATCATAGCCTTTTAGACCTTAGAGATTACCAGTCTAATCCAGTGGGGAAACTGAGGCAGAGAAGGCAAGGGGCTTGCCCAAGACCCAATTTAGGAAGCCAAACATGGAAACAGAACTCAGTCTCCTGCGTTCTAATTCAGGATTTCTTCCACAGCAGTGGACTTACTCAAAATAAAATTTGCCCATTGATTTGCTTGTCTATTCAACCAACATTGATTGAGTAGCTATCATGTACTATGTGTACTGAACAGTCACTGGAAAAGAAAATGTGAGTATTTTGAGCAGGGCCAGTTAAAATGCCCCCAAACTGAGACAATTGTGAGTGATATCACTGTAGTGATCAGTTCTCTCAGTCCTCACCCTTTAATCAAAAGGATACAATTCCTTAATCTTTTCTTGCTGTTTATAAGATGGACAAAAGAAAAAATCATATGTTCACTTATAGAATGAAAAAATTTTCATTTATTTAAAATTGATCACTTCAGTTTACCTTTTACGTTCCTTCTGGAAAATGATGCCTCCTTAGAAAATAATGTTGTTACAAGTGTTATGCCCTGATCAATTATTGTAACTCCTGTATTGGCCAGGTTGAACCACATGCAGTTGTAATTTCATATGGTTCAATGTAATACTGATTTTTGAAACTCATTCACCAAATAAAATTCAATAATTTTATTAAGAATCATAACATCTGAACTAGCTTTTCAAACAGGTAACAGACTGAAGAGAAAGGCACAACTACTTCTGGCTCTGTGTAAATTTCAGACCCACAGAGGGACGGCCTGGCTGCGTCCAGAGCTCTCTCCTGGTGACTCCAGACCTGCCACTCCCTGGGGCTCCCCCGACACCAGAAAGGAGGGAGCACAGCTCTGCGTCTACTTACATTCGGGGGTGGTCTCTGACTTTGGAGGCTGCAACCCACGGAAAGCCTGCTTTTCAGCAATTGGACTTTCTCCTCCTCCATTCAGGGCGGGTGAGGTCTAAGCAGAGGCACCTACTCACCTCAGCCAGCTGGGCAAACAGCCCGTCTCCACCCTCGACACTGACACAAACCAGCTGCGTGTGCTTCATACCTACGCTGCGGCCATACAGCCACTGTGGTTACGAGAACGTGGAGTCAGCGTTTCCCAGCCCCTCGCGTCCAGGGCCTTTCAGATAGAGGATTTAGCCCGTTATTACTTTAGCAGGACTTCTTTCAGAAGAGGCTTATCCAAGCTAAAATCGGCCCTGTGATTTGATTGGCTGCACCTAAGGGAGCAGGACTGTCCTGTCCCGGGAGCAGGGCGCCATGAATCCGTCACTCGCCCTTTATGCTTGAGAACAGGGACAAACCTTTCTTTCTAGAAAGGAGGAAAATGCTCAAAGGGCTTCCTGTTTGCAGGTGGGAAAATTCCGCCATAAATAATGTGGATAGACAAAGAAAACTTGTGGAAATAGGATGACGCCAGCAGTCTGGCACCTGTTTATGGGGTGGTGTGTGCAGAATGTACTCACCGAGGCGTGGCTTGAGTTTCAACAAGTCAAGTCATAAAAAGCAGCAGGCTCGACCGGATCGCTGATAGGCAGTCCTGCCCATCTGGGGTGGAGGAGGCCCTGCGGCCCTCGGGTGGGATACAAACACCCTTTTGCCCAGCAGCCTCCCACCTCCCGGGATTTCTACAATTATTACCAGTTGGCCACTCTTTTGCATAAATGCAGTTTCTTTTTCTTTCTTTCTTTCTTTTTTGGTAGCATCAGAGCCTTTCATTCAAGCTGCTGAAGCCACTTATCCTTGCTACAAGGTGTGACTCCACCAGGGAAACAAATTAGCATTTCAACAAAGCCTTCCTGGAGACAGGTATCTTACCAAGCTCAGAGGAGTGTCAGGAGCTCCTTGGAGGGAACGCTGGATATAGAGGGGAGCTCAGTGCCCATTTCTGGTTGAAATAGAGCAGAAGTGTGTATGTTCCAACACACAAATGGATAAGCAAATTGTGTTCTATCCATACAGCGGAATATTATTCACCCATAAAAAGGAATGAAATTCTGACACATGCTACAACTTGGACGAACCTTGAAAATATTATGCTAACTGAAAGAAGCCAGACACAAAAGGTAACATATTGTGTGATTCCATCGATATGAAATGTCCAGAATAAGCAAATCCAGAGAAACAAACCAGATTGATGGTTGCCAGGGCCTGGGGGAAGGGGGAGTAACTTCTTGATGGGGTCAGGGTTTTATTTTGGCATGAGGAAAATGTTTTGGAATTAGGTAGAGGTGGTGGTTGCACAGCATTGTGAATGTATGAAGTGCCACTGAATTGCTCACTTTCAAATGGTTCGTTTTGTGTTATGTGGATTTCACCTCAATTTTTTAAAGTGTGTATATGTCACATCTTGCAGTTCTGCATAAGATATTGTTTGAAAAAATAATTCCACTACTGGGGGAAAAGGTTTGAAAACTATTGCTTTTGCATGATTAATACCAGGTTTCTGTACAATTAAGGATTGGAGAGAGAAGAAATAAGAACGGTTGCCTTCTCCTCGCCTGCTGCTCCAAATCACAGGAGAATTCTTCTAGGCAAGAGAATCTTTTTAACCAAAATATCTTGGGTGCCAATTGGGAGTGAAGGGAGATCCTGGGCAAGTCTTCAACAGGGGGGAAAACATAGAGAAAGGGCTCGCTCCTGAGGACTTTGAAGGTGGGGAAGGGTCAATATTCAATATTTAATTTGCAATGTGAATTCCCTCCATGCCCCACCCTCTCAGGCAATTCTGCAGCCTCTGGGGTGGTTGTTGGCATCACTGTTGCTGCCTCCACTGGCCCCTGAATCACCACCACCTTGGCTGCTGGACTCTGGGTGTCATCACTGACACCTGGCACCACTGCTGTCCTGGCCACCACCGGGCACCAGAGGCTGCCACTGCCACTGGGGAAGAGAGCAAATGAATATATGGACTTTCTAGCTTCCGTCCCAGGAGCTAGTGTTCTGTGTCTTATAATGACAGACTGTCCAGGCACAGGGGACAGGTCCAGATGCCAGGCACTACAGAATCCAGAGTGCCCACATTCCTTAGCTAAGACCCCCTTTCCCTGAGGCAGTACTTGGACGGGACCCCAACATCAGTCTCCATGACTTACCACTGTCTACATGTGTCTGTGGCTGATCAATTTCCCTCTCTTGGTGCTGTCTTCCTCCAAACCAGACATCAAACAACCCACCAGGTTTCCATTTCCCCGACAGGTGGCTAAATGCACGCGTATGTGGGTTCCCTCATCTATCTCTGGGACAACACCCCGGCGGAGGCAGCATGGGATTGTGATCATGAACCAGACCCCGCGGCCAGACTGCTGCTGTGTGAACACCACCTCTACCACTCGCCTGATGTATAAACTCTTGCAAATTATTTAACTTCTGTGTGCTCAGTTTTGTCATCTCTAAAATGGGAATCAGAACAATACCTACCTCACATGGCTGTGGTGAGTGAATTTCTGTAAAGCTCTTGGAATCGATTAAGCACTGGATAAACTGTTGACTATTATATTATTATCGGCAGTGGGTCTCTTTGAGCCTCCAATAGGTAAAACTCTCAGCGAAACAAAGTTTATATTGCCTTCTTTCCATCCCTTCAGTAAAATCATGAATTCAGACACTACTAGTTAGAAATCGGTGCATCGGAAATAAAAGCTCATCTAAGATGACTTGTGGACTAGAAGAAAGAAATGTTGACTAAGAAAATTTATAACATAGGCTCAAGAAGAAGAAAGTTTCAAGAGCTTTTGACCAAGCCACTTACACTGAAATATTTGCCGGGCTAGTGACATACACTGAAATATTTGCTGGGCTAGTGACATGTCATTCCAGCCCTGTCCCTCTATGTGGCCAATGCTGGGCCTCAGATGATCGCTTAGCCAGAGCTACACTATGTCCTTGGGGCAGAAACTGCACTTCTTCAAAAACCATCCATGGTTTAGGCTTCTGATTAATTCAAGGTGGCTTGCCACAAGCAACACTGAGTTCACAAAGGTTTCTTCTACCCACTATTCTATGTACGGAGTCTAAACAGCCAGCCAAACCTCAACCAAGTCTCCTAGAGATTAAAATATAAAATTTGTTTTAAAAGACAGTTGTTTGGGAGAATTTTTATTTTTCAACTGGTGTATTGGTGTCACATCATCATAGCCATAAAAGACCCTAAATATAAATCAGGATAGTCTTTGACTCATTAATTCACTAACTCATGCATTTTATAAATATTGAGCTCTTTCCATGTGCTAAGCACTGCGAAGTGCTAATGGTGTGTTTAATACTTACAGCAAAGCTATGGGGTAGGGATTTTCTTTTTTTATGGAGGAACAACCAAAGTCCAGAGAGGTCAAGAGGCATGGCCAAAGACCAGCAGAGAGTAGGAGGAAGGATGGAGTCTAGTAGGCTCCGAACCCTGCCTGTGGTGAACGATGCGATGCTGCCACCTTGGAAGACTTTTGTAGGGAGTTCAAGGTAACTGACTGCCTTTATCTCTTGTTCGTTTACTTCTGTAGTAGAGCGTGGAGTTTCTAGCTGTTGGCGTCTAAAGCTGGTTGGGAAGGTTCCATCTGATAGGATCCCCTGCACTGATCTGGGAAGAGAGTAGCGGGTCCAGGTTGGGGCCAGTGACTAACCGTCATGGATGAGGCAGCCCAGCAGGGCTGTTCCGCATCACTGGGGAAATGGGGTGTGGGGCCGAGTCTGAAACAGGAGGGGACATGGAAGCGTGAGAACCAGCAGAGCAGCTAATCTGTGCAGAAGCAGCACGTTGGAGAGGACGCGGCTCAGAACCCACATTGTGAGGTCTTGGCCGGGCTGATACCCCATTTTACCTGCTGGGTGGAGGGTGGGGAGGTACAGGGAGCTGGGGCGTCAGAGACAAGATCATGCGGGCCCCGTTTCATCCATGATAACACGGAGGCTCAGAGAGTTTTCGCAACTAACCTCCCACCATCCTGTGCGAACAGCTGGTGAGACTGGGATCTGGTGATGCGGCGGACACTGACACCAAGTTTCTACTCAGGGTTTTTTATTCTCTGTTGAAAAAACTCTTTTTTGTATGTGATAGAAGTGTATCTGTTTTAAAGGCTTAATAAATTTCAATTTTTCTCCTGCATTGAATAATTTAGATCGTTAGTGCTGGAAGGCCCCAGAGGTCATCTTCTCCAGTACCCCCTTTTCCAGAGGAGGAAGCTGAGGCCTAGAGAGTGGAAGTGACTTGCCCAGCGTCTCACAGCGAGCAAGGGCTGGAACCAGAATGAGACTCGGACAGGCAGGCTCCCCCTGACCGACCAGGCCTCTGTAGGCTCTGGAGTCGCCTCCAGACCAGACCAGCAAGGTCAGATGAGACCCACCTTTCCTGCCATAGCACTGCCCTCCAGCCACAGCGGCCTCCAGCCAGTCAGGTGCTGCATCAGCCCAGGATGTGGGAGGGACCAGAGGATTCCAGATTCTGTTTGCTCCCTGAGGCTGAGCTCAGGTTCACCTGACCCTGCAGCTCCTTTGGCTCCTTGACAAACCTGGTGACCTAAGCCAGCTATTGTTCCTCCATTGGGCCCCAGCCCGCATCCCAGGCAGGAGGGAGACCTCAACCTCAGCGTCTCCCTCCAGGGGCTGAATTCAGTTGTTCTAACTCTCTACCTTGCACAGCTGAGCACGGAGCTACTTATAGCTCTGTTATCATGTTCCTGTTTGAATACAAACAAACAGCCGTAGCCTGGGAAAGAGATTTATTAGGAGACGTTGCCTGCTTTCTGCTCTGGTAGGGACCTTCATGAGCACCAAAGACCTGGCTGCACTGTGGGGTTTGAGTGAAATGACAACTCTTCCTTCACACTCTGCCTTTAGCCTCCTGTCTTCTTCCCTCCCACGTCTCTGAGGCCTCTCACATTCTCTGAGAAATTTTGATGTAAAAGTCCAGTCTTGGAGATGTGAGGGCTAGGAGGAGCTTAGCAATCACCTGCTCTCATGCCCCAGAGATCAGAGGCAAGCCTGACCTACTGAGCCAACCGTATTCAGATGCTGGGGGACTCTGCAAACCCCATTTCTGCTTTGCCAGCTGCTCCTTGTGAGGCTCTGCATGGAGGGGCAGAGGCCAGAGGAGGAAGGAGAAAGGAGAGCACACTCCTTCCTGTTTCTGGGAGCATCACCCAGCCTCACTGCTTCACCTGGGCAGCAGTTCCCTCCCACTGGATTCCCAGTGGAATCCGGTTTTCAGTTTTCCCAGCCCTTGCAGAGCCAGCCTCATGGTCACTGGCCCCCGCAGGCTGGAGCCCCCTCCACAGAGGTCTGAGGTTCCCTAAATTTCTAAATTTTAATAATTCCATCTTCCTCTCTTTGCTCCCCCAGCCTCAAGGCTGATAGCCGCTTCCTGCAGTTGCTTCCTTCCATCATACCTTAGAATTTGTTTTCGCCTTTGCGCTTACCTAGATAACAATTCTTCATGTTAAATTCTCTCTGTTAAAATAACTAGGAGGCTCCTGTCTCCTGACTCGGGTCTTCTTCCTCCTGGTTCAGGATTCTCTGCACTGGAACCCAATAAATGTTTGTTCAACTAAATGACTGAG